TTTGGCGGAAATGATCATGCATGGCTATAAATGGAAATTATTGTTCCAACTCAGAAGTAGATAATTCATATTTGCATAACAAAACTGAGATCGAACAAATTTTTTTGCCAACATAACGTGTGGAATTTGATTAAAGCAAACAACTTCACAGACATAATTACATTTCTGTTAATTGATATTGCATTTGCTAATATCACAAATAATTGAGCTGATTTGAAGTATTTTCTATAAATATATATAAGTTGAAAAAAATTAAAATAGGATAAATTTTTGATATTATTTCAAAAAATAATTGATTATAAAGGAAGGATATTTGAATTTATTTATTGGAAACATGAAATTTTCATGAAAATTCATTAAGAACATGAAATTAGTTGACAGAAAGATTGATCAAACTGATTGTTCAGTTATTTATCTTTGAATGATTTTATTGAATTTATCGTTGAAGGAATTATTTGCATTATTTTTTCAAATTTATTCTTATGCAAAAATTTGCATTCATTTTATTACAAAATAATTATGAGCACTATAAATTCTGATAATTATTGGTATTATTACTTTTGTCTAAAGAAAAAATTGTTTTCAGAGTTCCGAATATTTGTTTAAGATATGTTTTCAGTCATTAACAGCAATAGTAATATTAATATTAATATCGATTGTTAATATTAATGTTAGTAATAATAATAATAATTATTATTATTTTAATTATTTTTATTTTTAATAATACTAACAGTGTTGTTATTGTGTTGAACCAGAATTTTTGTTTTTGTCTTTCATTTTTTAAGTAAATATATTTGCAGCTGAAGTGCAAAAAAAGTGAAGTGTAAAAAAATTTTTTTTCCTTGAATTTAAACTTCAATCCACTAAATTTTTCCCTTTTTATCTTTCATTTGTATTTACGAGCAAATTACTGAAGTATATTAAATCACTTACTTGCTTATTTAATAGCTTTATTTTTTGGGAAAATTAGAGTGTAAATTTTATTTTTGTCCCAAAAGCACTAAAAGTGTCTTCAGAAAAAAAGCAAACTGTTCATTAATCTTGCAAAATATTACGTGGGCATTGAGCAATACTTCCATGAATAAATTTTAATCATTTAATTTCAAGTCTTTATAGACGTTTACGTATAAAGCGAAGAATAATGCAAACTGTATTATTGCGTAAAATCAAACGATAAACTTTCTTGAATTTCCGTAAGGAATGCGTTTATCTATATATTGTTGTTGATGAATGCCTCAATACTGTAAAAAGATATAAGTAAAAACCAGCGTAATTTTTGTTTTCGTTGCAATCATTCACTTTAGCAAAATCCCAAAAAATTTTTGAAAAGATTTTAATAATATTTAAGGTAGATAGAAATTTAATTAAAATTCAATACAATTGGATTAATTTTCCATAAAATCTAAACTCATAGAATACTGAACTATTTTCGACATTAATGCATTTGTATAAAAACTATTTGGAGGCAATAATAAAGTCAACCAAAAACCTGAGTATACCGGAAAATAAACTTTTACTTGGGGCGATATTGTATTTTTACGCTCAGATTTCAAACTTTGGTGGTTATTACCAAAGGTATCTTAATGAATGTGAAAAAAATTTTCCTGTCGTTCATATATTAAGTATTATTTTCAAAATCTTAAACATGTAAGCGCTACACATACGCTTACAAAAATATTCATAATATGTTTAAAATTTTTGCTCTAATTAGAGATTCAAATTTTAAATTTTCAATGGTTGTTAATTTCAGAAACACCAAATCTAGAATAATTTGGGATAAAAAATTAATTTTTGCTTTACTCGCAGAATTTTAATATTTTATTCTTCAAGTCTAACTAAATTAAATCAAATTAAATGAAGCTTGCTTGTTATTTTAACTCAGTTAAAATTAAGCATATTTCATGTAATGCTGAAGCATACAATGTGTTATTTTGTATGCATTAATGAATTTTTAATTTTCCATTAAAAAATTTTAGAAATAAGAATTAAAAAAGCTATACAAAAACGAAGAAAAATGGTAATTAGCAAAATGACGCAAAATTTTTCAAATTTCTTCTGAAAGCAATTAATTTTGGAAAATTCTGCTTTATACATAGCAGTTATTTTTACATTTGCTCTAAATAAAATGCTAAAATTGAATTTCTTGCATAGCAAACAATATTCTCAATCAATGTCATTCATTTTTTTCTAATTTTTATTTTTGAAGCAATCATTTCAATTGTCAACAAAATGAATAATTATTTTATTTTTTGCAAAAATACCATAAAATAAATTTTTGCTATTAAATTATTTAATTAAATCAATCAATACTTTTATCAAAAAAAAATTGATTCAATCACTTACACTACTTTGACTACGAAAAATTGCCAATTTTTATGTGAAAAGCTATCATATTACCTTTTAAGTTTACTTATTTAGATAAATTGAAGTTCTAAATTCATATTTACAATATTTCTCAAAAAATTAATTTGCATTCAAGTTTTTAAAATTTGATTTTAGGTTAAACAGAATAATACTTATCGTTCGTAAAAGTACTAGATACTGCCTCACAAAATGACATTAAATAAGATAATCTCCACAACATCGTTGAATAAAATGTTCTTAATCATCATGAATTATAATTTATCAGTTTATTGACTTTAAAATCTTATCAATCTGAAATATATAAAAATAAATCTGTTCTGACTTAATCCTTCAATCATTTAAAAAATCGTTTAATTTTTACCACTAACAAATATAGTAAGAAATTTCAATAAATATAGTAAGAAATTTTTTATCTTAAAAAATTCTTACTAATTCTTTTTGCTGCAAAATATATTTGATTGAATCAATTTTTTTTAAAAATGAAAAACATTATTTGTTTTTTAAAAAATGCATAAAATTATTTTTTTATTCTGAGCAGTACAAAAGTTGACAAAATATTGCCTGAATATTTATTTTGAAGTTCTTTAAGTTGAAAGTAAAAGCTTTAAATCAAAAATGCTATTTTTACTACTAAAAAAAGTATTCTTTTTGCTATTATAATATTGTAAAATTATTACACACTGATTTCTACAGCATAAGTAATGATTAATTGATAAATTAATTGATATTCTTCTCTGAAATGAACAATTGGGTAATTTTTGGTAAATGTCACCGTGTAGTAAGACAAAGAGAGCAAGCTATCATAATCATAATCATTACTATGATTATGTAACGAAAATTAAGAATTTTGCAGTACTATAATTATACTTATTTTATCATTTTAAATTAACAAATCAGAAATTGTAATTATAATCAAGAAAACTGATAAATGTCATACTATGACTTAGATTTATTTCATCCTAAAATTTAGAAACAAACATCTTGAATTTATAGCAATGATTCAAAGTAATTGTCGTATTGAATTTTTTTCTTTTTTTGAATCTAAAAAGTAACCTAAATTGATCAAAGAAGAGTACTGAATTAAAAAAATGAAAATATAAATCAAGTAAATATAACACAAAATCTATAATTTTTAAATTTTAACATATGAAAGAATTTTTTGCAAAAAGGCAATCATAGAAAGAAACTTAAATAATACAATTTAAACTGTCATTCAATTAATTTTTTGCAATAAAATTTGCATTTTATGTGCTACAATTATTTGATATCAAAAATTTAACATATCAAATATCTCAAAAAACTTTTTTACACTTCTTTTTAAAACTTATTCTTTTTGGGGTCTTTTTTTTTGAATTTTCGTTAAAAAATGCAAAAGTGTCAAGAAAAGCTCAAAAGAACTCTTAAAATGTTTATTTTTCACAAGTAAAAACTTATTTTTGATTATTTCTATTATTTTGCAAGCAGAAGAGAGTTTTTGACAAGAAATGTAATATATTTATTATTTATGACTTATTGATACTAAAATATTTCAGTTATCAAAATTCCATTTTAAAAACTGTTCTCGACGGCAATAAAATTATTTTTATTTCCAACTAAATTTTGAGGACTATTTTTAGATTTATAAAGACAGTAATTGGATAATAACGGGTGCAGAATTAAATAATATAATTAAAATTGTCATTCAATGAATTTTATGCAATAAAATTTGTATTTTATGTGCTAATATTATTCGATATTAAGTGTATTCATTATTATCTAATTCACAATTTTATGTAATAAAATATATTACTAAGCTATATAAGCCCTGTTTATTTACTCAACTTAATACAGTTTATATCTTAAATCAAGAAACTAGCACATTAGTGCTTAGTTCATGTCTTCTGTTTTGATAGACTTGCTTATTTAAATTCAAAAAATTCAGATTTAAAAAATTGTCAGTGTGTTTGCAAAAAAGTTTTTAGAATAATTTAGTAACATTATTAACAAATTAAATTATAAAATCTTTCAATTTATTCGAATTTATTATTAATGCAAAACATTAACAAATGTGTTGAAAATGTGAACAATTGATAATATATGCAATTTGAATATAAATATTAATATTTTTTGCTAAAAGCAATTTAGCTTTCAGCTTGTGAAGTTTAAGTAATACTAAAATTAGGACTGCTTAGATTGACAGTTTCTAGACAGTTAAGCTTTCAATTCTCATTGAGAAGCCTGAATAAATTTCGAGCACAGAAATCATCACAGTTGATAAAAAATGTTAAAATTTTTCAGTTTAATAAAATTATAGAATTGAACATTTCAAAAAAAGATTGATACAATGCAAAAATTGATAATTTGCCCAAGGATAATAATTAAGGAATATTGCAGTTATGCATTTTAAATATTCACTATTTAAATTAAGTAAATATGCAAAAATTATGGCTTGTAAAAACTGGAAATGCTAGAAATTTCTGAGTATAAATTTTTAAAAGTTTGATGAATTAAAGAAAAATTATTTGCAGTGAAAAGTTGAATTTGGTTTTTTCAAAGGCAAAAGTTATAAACAAAATTTTTTTATTTTAAAAAATTGTGATTGTTTGATGGCATAAAAATAACCAAATAAATAAACAAATAAATAAATAAATAATAATTTAACGTAAAACAAGTGAATGTAAAGGTGTTCCCATCTCAACTTGACATTCGCAAGCTGATATTGTATTTATTGACTCTTGGACCCATCGTGGCGATTTTTTTGTGCCTGAATTACGAACAACATTTATGGAACGCATTACAGGTCGACAATTACCGAAACCTAAAATTATGATTTTAGATTTGCATGGATATGAAAAAAAGATTGTCCAAAATTGTTTCTTTAAAATCTGTTATAATTTTTTTGAGAGAAATGAATCTTTCTTAGATGCCAAAAAATAGTATACTGATTCTTTTGATTTTCAGCTATGTTTTTGACAAAAATTAGTAAGTAATATAATTACTGTACGTGTAAATTACCAGAAAGACATGCATTATCGCTACAGTCACAAGAAACTTCATTGAGCAAAACCGGAAAATAGTTAGGCGGAAGTTTACGCCATTGCCAGCACAAACTACATAATCCTGTCCAGCCTTGTGCTATTTCCTCGCCTTTTTTGTAATTACAGCCAATCGTTGTCGCTACTCCCAACACTGTAATTGTTTTATTGAGTAATTTAACTTTTGAGAAATCAAAATTACACAAAAATGTGGCGCTTTTATTAGAGTAAAGTGCTATAATCAAAATTACATAATTTGCGCACTGATATTAAATTGAGTCGTTATTTAATATTTTACAAAAAAATTATCCTCATCAAGTGGATATTATCATGAAGAGAATATTTTCTTTTTAAAAACGCCTATGATTCTAAGAATGTTAGTTTGAAGATCATATGTTTGAATGATCTGAGATATTTTAGCTATTTACTGAACCGAAATCATCACTTACATACATTACATATAAGTGATGCTATTCTATCTGCGCAAAAAAAAGTCAAATTTTGTGGTCAAAAAAGTGAAACATATCCCTGTCCTTACTATTATAGCAAATACCAAAAAAAAGTTTACCAAACTAGATATAATCCGTGAAAAATAAATAAATCTATCAAAGTTATTCCCATGACAAGCAAAAGAATTTGAAAATGACACCAATTCAATCTTAATTCACTTAGTAATGTTAGCCAAGCATAAAATTTTAATTTATAAAGTAAAGGATATTACAATTTTTTAATTCATCAATGAATCCTTTTTTATCATCAAAATTGGTTCACTATTTTTATTGATGTGAGGCAAATTTTAGCATCAACATGAATTAGATCAAATTTTTTCTACCCATCGATCCGTGATTCACGTGACTCAAGTAATAACTTCTGATATTATCTAAAATAAATTGTAAATTTTCAATGTGAATAAAATAGCTTTCAGAATGCGAAATAATAAGTAGCTGAAACTGAATCACAGATCAACAGTAGCACCAATTTCATTATCTCTCTATAATTAAATAATATTTTTTAGAAATTATTATATTGCAAACTATGAAAGAAGATGATATTTCACCAGTAAAAGTTACATTTTTGCTTAAAATCTTTGTCACTGCTTCGTTTGCGGATTTTTGGTGTGAGTAAACTGATCACTTCTTGCAAATAAGTTGGCAGAGTTTGAGTAGTACTCGAATTACTTTCTAATTCTTCACTGTTGAGCTGTAAAATTCATTCTAATCTATTTCAGAAACAAAATCTGATAACAAATTTGCAATAATTTATCATTTGTTTACGTTAGAGAGCAAAATAAAAAGTTTTAAAAGTGTAACACTGTTTGGAATACTATAATCTAACTTAGTTTCATACACTTTTTTACTTTTTGATTGCAAAAGTTTTAATATTTTTTCTTTTACAAAAGGTGACAAAAGCTTTACCTTATTTCGGTAGGCAAAGTTTTTTTTGTCACACAATGATTCATCAACATTGTTAGGCATTTCATCGAACATGCCATCATGCATAAAGGAATTTCGATTATAGGCCTTACGGAATGCGTTAGTCACCAAAAGTTTGCATGCCTTGCACATATCCGTATCACATGAATATCCTTCAGCAGATTTATAAATCTAAAATTTTTTTCCATCTGAAAGTTAGTAAAAATGTTTGATAGAAAGTTTAATTATTTGTATTAAGTATTTATACATTTTACAAAGTCATAAATCTTAAAATTATTATAAATAAATCTTACACAAAAATTCGTAATCCTATAAATAACAGTTAATATTTTTAAACATAATATGCATTGAATTCAATTATTGAATAAGCTGAAAAATGCTCTTGAATAATAGTGGTTATACTTTTTTTTGTGTAGAATGATAAGTCAAAGTTGCTATCATCCTTCCATCTTCCTCGGAAACGAGTGGTCGAGCTTTTTCCGGCGAACTTGAAAGGTCAGGAAACGTGTGCAACGCCTCTTCAAGACTTACTGCTTGCAAACGATTATCGTACGATAAACACTGATTACTGCCAGGTGGTTTCACGCATGGACATTGCATAGCTGATTGTGGCTGCAAACTTTTTTGCAATCAGCACTTTTCTTGAAAAGCATATTTTGGTAATATATGGTAAAATAAGTAATCTGTTACATTAATATATTGCTGAAATGCCTTTTGTAACTTATGCGAAATGTACTAATTTTATTATACTTTCTTTACTTTTATAATGTTAAGAACTTGAATTTGACTTATTTTTTTGCACTGACTAATTTTGAACATATTAAACGCTAGCATTTATCATCTAATGAATTGTGTAGTGAATAGATAAATTAATAAAATTACCTGTGCTTCACGATACCGATATTGAATACAGGATATACATTTAGGTTGAGTAGAGATCAGCTTCAAACAGAGTAAGTTTATTAATGTCAAAAGGCAAATCTGCTTCATGGGGTTGCCTTGTGACTGAATGGCCTCTCTTTTCACATAGATTATTCAATTTACATTAATTAGCTAAAAAATGCGGTCAAAATTAATTATTTCATATTAATACTACTTAATATTTTAATTAACAACTATGAAATGCCTTCATTTGTACTTCAGTGGAAACATACTAGTTTTTTAAATTAAAAAATTGTAAAAACTACTAATTTTAAATTATCGAATTTCTGTGAGTAATTGAGTACTCAAATGAACTACAAAGTTTTTTTTTTGACATTTTTGAATGAGAAAAATAGAAAATTAATCAAAACTACGCACTTATCACACTTGCAAATACTTTAATAACCTCAAAGTCATTTAAGTTGAAAGAGTATTTTGGATAAATGAAAGAAGTCTCAATTTTAATTAGCATTTAATTTTTGTCAGTATTTTACAACTCATTACAACTATAATATATCTATTCGCTTGTAAATTGAATCAAAATATGAAAATTTATCTAACTCGAAAATAAATTGTTTTTTAGAAATACTTTTTCTTAATCTGAATTCTCAAACTATTGAAGTTGTTGTAGAGCTAGAATCTTCAGTGAAAATTCATTGAAAAATTATAAATAAGTGAACATTTATTTTCAAAGTTAGACCATTAATTTGAATGTTTGACGCACGTCGAAAGTATATGTCGGTATCATAATTGTTTCATTACTCAGTACAAAAAAGTGTTCCATTTAAAATGCTAAAAATTTGACACTTTAACCTTTTGCATGAAAAAGGTTAAATTTTTATCAGTAATTTATTTGTTTGATATTTAATGTGAATTTTCGAGTAATAGTGATGTTTTATTAATTAATGCGTATTTTTACTTGGAATTTGAAATAGTAAATCGCAAAAATAAATAAAAACACTAACAACTGATCACGTGCAATCAAAAAAAGATGTAAATTTGATCCCATAATTAAGTTCAAAGGTTGTGATGCTAGTCCACAAACTTAAATTATTAGCATCGGACAACTAAATAATTTTGAGATAATCTATCTCTACTTGGTTTGTTGTTCAGAAGTGAGAGAAAAATTTAGCAAAATTTGAAATGAATTTGATAGACTTGCGCTGAATGCAACATTTATTTAAACAAGAAGTAATTCGCAAAATAAAATTGCGATCAATTTGATTTCTGAATCACTTGAACTAACATTTGAAGTTTACTGGGCTAAATTTTCTCTAAACTTTTTTTCTATCAACAGAATGCCGAATTTGAATCACATACTGTCACTCTTGTGATTCACACTACTTGAACATTTTTATATTGAATTAAATCACGATTTAAACAAAAAATAAAGATCATTCATATAATATTACTTTAAAATTGTTGATTTTTTGATAGAGAAGTTCTGATAAGTATTCTAACTTTTTGCTGTTTTCTACTTGCATAATTTTCACCAGTGTAATGATATTAAGTCCGTCTGTATACCAAGATAAGTACTAAAAATATTTTGGGTAATAAATGATTAAAAATTATTATACAAACAAAATTAGCAAAATTTTGTACTCTTAAGTATTGGATAAAGGCATCACAATTTTGATTAATCACGCTGCTATATCCCTAACTTTAATAGCAACGAATAAGAGAATTTTTTACGTTGTTCCCCTTGTTAATTCGTGAGTGTAGAAAAAGAAATACCAACTTTAAAACTATTCAAAATAGATTTTTTATATTCCACAAAATTATTATATTGAATGAAATAAGTCTTTAAAATGTTGCTTTCTTTGTAGAGACGTTCCGATAAACATAAATTAGCACTACATATTGCAAATATACATTGCCAGCATGTGATTTAAACAGTAATTAAGTTTTGATATCAAATTTGAGCGCGTAATAAAATTAAAGTATTGCTAGCAAAAACATTACATTATTAATTGTAGAGTATAATTTAGAGACAAAAATGAAATAGATTGAATAGAATATTGTTTGATAACAGCTATTTGTGCAAACTGAAAACAAACAAAACACCAAAGCATCCATCTACAGGAATAAATGCAAGTGTTGTAAAGAAGTGAAAGTGCTGTGAACATTGCAGTCTTTCTTACCTTACCTCGCAAACTTAACCATCTATATGTAATGTACACACAATAAAGAATTAAAATGATATTTTAAAAAAATTGTTTTTGAGAGATTTTGTCGAATACGAAAATGAGTAGAAGTAATACAAACATGTTCTCAAGCAGAGGTAAAAAGACGAAATTGTAATTTGCAATGATTGATACAGTCTGATTGATTGCCATTCAAAATTCTTCCAATCTATTTTGAGTACTACTTCGTGACAATCTTTGTGTAAGCAATTTTATTATACTTTCAAGTTAAATCTTTTTTTAACAGTACTAAATTATTTTGTTGCAATTAATACTCACTTCATAATACATGAATGACTTATACGCAACACTGCTAGCAAATTTCACTCACATTTGATCACAATCTTGTATGTAAAAATTAATTCTGAAGTAGTATGCAGTATGGGGAAAGAAATAGATGCTCTTACAGTCATAATGTATTCTGCGCTGACAGTACGATTTATGATTCGCTGCTTAATTATTTATAATAATGACTTTTATTACTACAAAAGCTTCTCCTACTGATATTCACTATCTATATGGTACCAACTATTTTTATGGTATCAACTATTCTTTTTAAAATAAGTCAGCAATAATCAATCACATTTTATTTTAAAGTACAACCAGACGAGAAACAAGTTCCAAAAAATAACACTGCACACAATTCATCGAAAAGACAAACTTCAGACGACATTCTAGCAATAATATACCATAAAATCAAAATTATCAAAAATGAAAATATACTTTTGTAGACTTAAACCTTTTTCATCAAACTTAAACCATCATTTATATACATTCGACTAGTTAAAAAAGTTTCATACTAATCACAAATGTACATATATATGTAACTCTCATCACTCAAAGAATGCTCAATAATATTTACAGTGTAATCTAATACAGAAATACTAATGTGTTAAATAAAAATTAAATCCTAATTTCTAAACAAATCATACATTCAAAAAGTGAATCCTGGTAATCAGCCATTTAAAAAAAGGCAATATATATTCATATTTATAGAAGATTCAGTCAATTAAAAAATAGATTTATGGAAAACAACTAGAGAAATTAATTATAAATTACGATGGATCACTTGCAAAATCTATGAATAAAGGCAGAAAGCAGAGTCAAAAAATATAATTTGAAAGATGTAAAGTGCAATCCATATAAAAAGTTTAAAAATTTAATTTCCACTGACATGACATAAAATTCCTTATTTTTAACAACGAACCCCTACAAATTGATCAAATTATAAAAATCTATCAAAATTTGAAGTCTTCTGCAGAATTAAAATTATTAATACCTTTTAAGCTACGTGCATCAAGTTAAAAATTATCTATTAAGCAACATTATCCACAATTATACCTCTTCCTAAATTTACAAAATCCCAAAGCTATGAAATCATATTTAGAAATAAAACAAAATATCTAACAATTTTTAACACAAGAATTTAGATTTATGCCGTAATAAGCAATTTTTTAAACAAGGAATAAGTTTTACGCAAAAACAAAATATGCGACTATAAAATCTGTGTTATTTTCCAAAAAACTGCATTAGAAAATAATACAAATTAATGCGGATACATACTCGAACAAAATATTATTGAAAATATTTGTTTTGCGTTTTACAAATATTAAGAATTAATCGAGTTTATAATGTTCCCAATAACACGCCGATTACCGCTTCCGATAGGACGGACAGTACTCAGAAAAGACTCCTTTCGAGTAGGAAGCATACCAATTCGGCTACTGAATATTTTCTCGGGAATATTAAATTTACAATTACGTAAATGAGTAGTTAGCACCATCATACTATTATTCTTCCATTCATGAATAGGTTTCAAACATTTACTAAATTCCCACATCTATAATGCAAAATCAACAAGACTGGCAAGAATATCAAAAGAAATTTGTTCAATAATAGCGTTGCTTATATCATTTCAGAAAATTCAATACCGTGCACCTTATGCTCGATTATAATCATAAATCGAAGATAACACCTTTCATTTGCCTCTTCGCAAGAACAAGAATTTCAATTCCAAATATTCAAAATCATAATTTTTCTTTTGACTGCTAGCCAAATAAACTCTCATCATATATATTTGCAATTGTTTCATTCAGTAACTTTACTAACTATCAACAAATTTTGAATGAGCAGAACTTATTATCTAAAGACATATGGCACACCAAATATTTCAAAAATTTTTTTTTTTTAACATTTCGATCACAATTACTTTTGGACCAGATGTGACGTAAGATAAAAAGACTGTGAAAATGTATTCTCAAAACCACTTACATAACACTTTTCTGACCAGTTTCCACTTTCACATCGTTCCCATTTGATATGCACCATTGCAGAATTAGAAGCAGTTTGAAAGCATTTAAATCGCATCAGTTTACTTGTTGATGATAAACAACGTAGCGATGCACTGTCAAGATATTGCAATATATGGAAGAAGATTAAGGGCGGTAAATCACACACTGGACAGCCATCATGAGTTAATACTGGTGTAAGAGGAGGCTCAAGAACAGTGCAGTTCAGATAGTGACAATATCTGTAAACAGGCAAAGATAAAAGTTTGAATCCAATTTGAAAAGAGAAAAATTTACTCAAAAATTTAGATCAATCTTTATTAAAAAATATAAACAATGAGTCTACAATTTAATTTACTGAACATGAAAGGGATATCCATGTATAAATATTTTACTAAGAGATTCTCGAATAAAAAAAGGCATGTAAAGACAACGCATAATTTCTAAGGAAAAACAAATATACCTTAACTTTCCCCAACATGGCTCCATTTTATGGTAATAAAAAGGACATCCATCAACATATAATGGACAACGTCCGATACACTCTGTAGCAATCATATGTGATAATTTATAGTGCTCAAGATACTCATCACGACGGAAGTTTTCATTGCAGAAGTAAGTATATACGCAAACTCCTTTTTGTACGCATGGCATATTCTCACTTTTACGGGTAAATACAGAAAAACGTTCACGTACTATATTCAGCTGTAATTGTTACCTATATGAACGGAACAGAATGTTCTTTTAATTATTTAGACTAAGAGAATTAAGTATAGTCATAAAACTAGGCCTGGTAATCCTAAAACCTCAACAAATATTTGCTGGAAATAAATAAAGTAAAAATAAAAATGCTGACTGACTAATGACGATTCTATCTTTACTACTACCGACTTTATTTATAACTCGTAAATTTAATGCATATTTTAAGCTCACACCACTTAAGGAGCTAGCTCAGCTTACTTGAGAGCACTTTTAATATGATTACAAATGAGAACTATAGTCGTTTTCATCTAGCACCAATATTGTAGAGAAAACTTACACATAAATTTCTTTCTTCGTAGAAGGGTGGTAAAAGCAAACGTTTGACTGGAGTAATTTCTTTATCTTCTGTTATTTCTTGATTTGCTTCAAAACTGATATTACCGAGCACATGAAGATGTTGGCTGCCTGGATCTGCTTTACATAGGTAGCAACTTTCAAATGGAGAACGCTTGAGTTCTAACTGTCTTTCCTTGAAAACAATTTATTGAGCAAGATTCGATTTTATTTGGCATTCCGTTAAATGAGAACTTGTTCACAAACTATATTTAGCACTGTTTTTTTTAAATTTACTTACGTATCTTGATTCTATTCACATTTCTATCTCTTAAATGATGTTATTTCTCAGAAATCACACAAAAAACTGCTCTAACAGAGCTTTTTCATGCGATTTCGGAAACTATTAACTGTCGGAATAACAAAGTTATAACTAAATACTTTTCAGAGGACCTTTTGCCTGTTTTCTTCGTCACTACTGTCTTCATCGGCAAAACTGGAAGGCTTTTGGAGTGAAAGTCTTAACGGCATGAGCGGATGACAAGGATTGTAAAAATCAGTGAGACGCTTGCGATCTGCACGACTTGTTCTATACGAATCAATAACTACATCCTGTAGTGCAAAATAATATGCACTGAAACTATTTTATTTATAAATCAGTATTCCCAATGAGTCAGAATTAAAGAAATGTCTTCTAATTTTTTGTATAGCTAAATTTCGATAAACATTTTGTAAATATTACAGTCTGGAAAGGTAGAAAATAAACCTGATCAACAAGTGCGGCACAAACATCTATTTCGTGATCATCGTCTACTTCATACGCTGCTTCCCACTTTTCTAGACCTTTTGCTACACGTTTCAACTTACGTTTTGCATAGTTACTAAGAGTTCGTCTATTCCACTGCACACAGCAAAATATCACCCAAGCACAGCAATGTTTCAAGTGTTGTGCCATGCGTTCGCGCCTTATTATTACTGGACATCCGAAAGCCTCACAAAGGCAAGGTACAAACGACTTGAAAAATAAGAATATATCATAACAAGAAATAAAAGATATGAATTATTGAAACAAATGTCTGTCTCATTACACACTTCCTTAATCAGAAGAATCTAAAACTTTTTTAATTCAGATGAAGTATATTTGAAAACTGAGATAATCTAAAGAGTAAAGAAAGTTCTAAGATAAATGTTTTTATAAATAAATTTTCTAAAATAGATAATAACACACTTCATAAATATAGTAAGCAATCTGAGGTGATAATCTTCATGACAAAACCTTAGGACATATAAGCAGATGATCTTCAAGTTTACAGGCATGTAACATGATGCGACATTCTGGACACGGATGAACTGTACAAAGATTGTAGCGGCAATCAATGCGGAAGCAATACGTACAATGCACGTGGTCATCAATATCAGTGGAATTCGTACATTCAAAATTGCATGAGATTGGTGCACTGAGCATTTCTTATTTCTGTTAACCAGAAACAGTTAATGCAGATACTAAACAACTTCTGCAAGTTTTACTCCCTGAAATTAAGATCTCAAAAAAAGCAACAAGTCTGTTTTTCAAATATTGATAAATCATAATTTTGACGTCAAAACGTTACGACTAAGTAAAAGATTAAAACCAATTAAATAAGATTTCCGATAACTACTCAATTTGCATATTTTGTCATACAAATATGCATGTATATCATGCTAATAACTTATTTACTCTAATTAAAGTTATAATCCTAATTAACCGCTGCACTCTTCTTCATAACTATTACTGCAATCTTAGTTACTGTTCTGTTCGTCTTCACACAGTTGTATTCCTCTCCTCCTTACAACGTTCAACTACTTTAATTCTGTAAAAAAAGTCTTATCTTTTCATAAATCTTTGCCTTCTTTTCATAATGCTGCATCTTTTTCTTTGTTTCCTTATCAGACATGTTGTTTTTCTATTCTTCCATGTCTTAATTCTCTCTTCTAATTGTGCCATCTAATCTAGTCTCAGTGAGTACAGTACATATATTACTAATTATCATTCTCTTGTTTCCACTGTAATCGTTGCTAGCAAAATTTTAGAAAAAAAAGAAGAATTATAGAATGCTAAAATGTAGCAATAAGTAATAGTCAGCAAATGAGATATAATTTTTGGATAGAAATAATTTGACAAAAAAAGAAAGCAAAAGCAAAAGCCAAAGCAAAAGCAGAAGCAAAAATGTAATTTTAGTTGTCACATAGCTCTAAATTTTAATTTCTATTAGAAAGTAAAGTATTTCATACAGTCTTACAGAATTTATTTTTACTTAGCAAAAATTATTTAAAGAAAGGAACTTAGGACTGTAATTGCACTGAGCAGTGCTTACCTACCGTAACATAATTTTCATAGGGAAGGAAGGGATTTTTGTGCTTTAAAATGACTGTAATGTAATAATTAATTATAGCTTAGACAAAAGATTGCATTCTCTTCTGTGGAAAGAAGTCATTCTTGAAGACAAGTAATTGTCGGAGAGCTTAGCTAACTGCAAAGATTAAGTGCTGCACTGACTGCACTGATCACTAAACTTTGTTCACTCTTTTTGCTTGCAAATGGCTGGTTGAAAGTTAAATTTACTTTGCTTAACTGTTTTGCAAGACTGAAAGTAAGAAAAAAAGCAAAATATAAATTGTTTGCTTTGGCAGTGTGCTTTTGAAGCTTTTTGTTTTCAGAAAGACTGCTTAAACTCAGAGAGAAACGATTAATCAAAGAGCTGAGTTCAAATGTTAACTAAAAATTGATAGCCATTTTGTTAAGATTCAGTCTTAAGACTAAAAGTCTTTACTTGACCAAATGTATTATTAATCTTCGAGAAATGTAATAAGATTCTAATATGCATCTCATTTTGCTTCGCTTTTCATACATTTGTAGTCGTTATTCAAAAAAATTTTCATATCAATTTTTGCAAATTTTTAGAAAGATCAAAATAACGTGGATTTAGAATTCGTTTGTTATGAATACACGTCTGTCATGAATCTATTATATTATTATATGCATTAAAACAGCTGTTTCTCAGGGGCTTTCAATGTGTTTCTTTCGCTAAATGAGAACGAATTCTGCAGAAGGATTCTAGTCGACCAATTGACAACACATTAATGGTTGCATAAGAGAAAAAATCTTTTCTCTCTTATAAAAAATTATTCAGTGACATGCTTTTTCAGGATAAAAAATTGCCAGATTTTATTGATTATTAGATTTAAAACACAAGTTTATTTTAAAAGAGTATGTTTATCGTACATAATATCACATTTTACTGGCTCTTTCCCGTGCTTGACGCTCCTTACGTAATTCTTTATGACTTTTTGGTGGTTCGGTACGCAGGGGTATTTGCTCAAATTTGCGGCGAGGCCGTGAGCTTGTAGCCGATTCATTGCTACGACTTTTTTGAGTCGCATTTAGTTTTTGAATCGAGCTAGGTCCCTGCTGACTGCTAGCAGCCGACAAGTACGAATCTTGTGCACTTTTGAATTCAACTGCTGACGGAATAATTTCCTGCTTTTGAGCATTTTGGCCATTTAATGAAGGCATAACCGACTGAACTGATTCCATTGGACTTCCATGACTGGAAATTTGATCGGGACCAGTCGTAAGATGGGAGCGAACTACTTTTCCAGAGTCACTGAGATTTGTTTTCACTTCTGTCGCTGCTGCTGTTGTGGCGACACCCGAAGTGTCTTTCTTCTCACTTTGGTAGGAACTTGTATCGCTGCTTTGTAGGATTCGCTCCGGATACCATTTTCGGTCTAATGATTGTGGTGTACTGGAATCCGTACTTTCCGTTCGGCTGAATATGGAGTCAAGTTGTGGAATGTTAAATGAGCCAACCGATGACACTACCATTCTTTTGGTACCTCTTAATGAGCTTGGTAGATTTACCGTTTCTGCATTTGAGATTGTGTATGCAGAGGATGGCATCAGATTGCTTTTCTCACTTGAAACATCTGCTAGACATTCCTGAAGTTGAGCACTCACTCATTAACTACACTTTTTTTCTTCATTTTTGCAATTGTCCATGAATTAATTATGTTAGCATTAAGAATAAATTTTAAACGAACTGAGAATTGAGCATATAATGAATCCATCAAGAAGATCTGAACTGTAGGCTTCAAGTCCGGTATTTCTACTGCTCTACGCATTATTTCTTGACGCTGAAAGTTTGGTAATTTGCATTATAATGATAAGAAAAAATTACCATTATTAGACGACAATTTTTATAAATGCTTCTAATTGCTTTGATTTTGAAGAAAATTTTTTTCAGAAAGCTCACTTTTTCAAAATTATTTCTTTCAGTTAAACAAAGCTTTTTTCTTGACTTTTTAATCCCACTATACATCATTTATCATGTTTTTTTTTGAAAAATTATCCAGCAAAATTTTCACTTCTCAATGTTTAAAGATTAATCAGAAAGCCATTTGTTTGATTTTCACTCGAAAACTAACGAACATGTCTGGCTATATTGATCGCTTTGAAGTTCACGTTATCAAGCAGTGACGAAGCTGCATAAAACTGATCCATGTTGTTTCGGAGCCAGTAAATAATTGCACCATAAGTTTCGATTACCCATTCAGGTTCTTGTAATTTCGGTGCAGAAGTTAGTGCATAAAGCATTTCGAAGGATAGCTGTATAAATTCACTTCAGAAGCATAATTTTTAAATTACAATTCAAGAAGCATGTAAAGAATTAAATTTCATAAAGTTATCTTCTTAACAATTTGAAGTAATTTATTTCGCAGAAAAAAAATTGAAATATTCAAAGCTTCCAAACTGTCTTATGAATCAGAGCTAATTTTGTCATAAAGTACTAAATTGCTGTGACCTTTTTAAATTCTGAATGGATAAGAATTTCATCAAATTTCATTGCTACAGCGTCGATTACAATGTTACGATACTGCGAACAGCTAAAAATATGATTGTGATAATGATTTCAGTTTACAATTATTAACTGTTAGTCTGAGGACTATAAATGTTACCAGTAATTACTTATTAAATATGTTTGTGCTCAAAAAATGTAACTGTAAAAAAAATGAAACTGACGGTGGTAAGCATGCAACAGCAACATACAACAAAGGAATTGCAGTTGATGACTTTTCTTTGATACGTGAAACCATTTCCTCGCAAATTAGACACACCAGTCCAGTAACCTTCAATTCACCGCGTAATTCATAATTTGAATGATCAAAGTTTTTATATTGCTGATTGATTATGCAAAAGTCTTTTCATTTTTTGAAAATTCTGAAACAGTGCTACTTAATTAGCTCTAATATTTTTTAAATTTCTAAATTTCGTTCTCTAAATTTGTTATTGTAATTTTTTCAAATTGATTATTGCACATACTACGTATTTTCTTTGCCTTCATAAATATTAGTTTGTATTGTCTTTAGATGAGTTTATTTACTAATCTTTAAAATTGTTTGTTGCAGTTTTTTAAATGCTAGAAGATAGCTAATTATGCTTACGTCAAGATCATTAGCAGCGCTTAAAATATTCTCCAATTCAGTTTCTAAAAATTTGATCTGTCCATTTTGAATGAAACATATGACATTATAAAGGCCAGCGTTGCTTAAATTTGGCATATCATTGAGATGTATTACAAGTTCCTTGTTTGAAGGTTGTTGTTGTTGCTTATAATGTTCTACCTAAACACTGACCACAGTTCCATACCAAGTTTTTGAGTTACACTTACTTTCATTTGAATTAATAAGGCATTAAAATTGTGAAAAAACATAAATAATGCTTCAATATCTATTATTACAATAATAAAAAGTAAAAAAGAATTGAGTCGTAAACTTTTTTGACTTATGCAATGTTCAAATTGCAATAACATGTAAAAATTACTAAAGAAGGATAAAAAGTTTTAATTTACTTCATTTCATCAAATGTGAATGATACAGTTTTTGTATGACAGAGACATTACTTTCTATTTTTATTATTAACTTATACAAATAAGCAAAAATCACTGAAAATACTACATCAGTAACTCACAATTTAAAAGAGTTTGAGTTACTGATGTAGTGATGTTCAAATTTATTTAAAGTTTAATTTAATTCTAAATAAAAAAAGTATGCTTGACAAATTTATATTTCTTGACTAATTTCTATCTCTGAATAAAAATAAAAGTTTGCTTTATTATTATTGCTCATTAATTAGAGCAAGATCAAACTTTAAGTTATACATTCAGATATTTCTGTAATATATTTAGACACTTTGGGTTACATATTCAAATATTTACTTGTGAGATTAATTTTTTGACTAGTTTTTTTAACCATCAGTTATATATTTTCCCTTGAGACTACTACTGTTTTGATATACCTGTGCCATAATTAATTTGCATAATACACTGGAAAATGCTGCAAGCAAAGATGCCGGTGCATTACATACATATCCATTTGCAAGCATCACTTTTGCATTACGCTTCAAGGGTCCGGACACGTACCAATTCAGATATGCGTTTGTTTCAAGTCGAGTCCAATTTAATTCATCCTTAATGAATTTTTTTAATGAAACTGTCATCCATTATATGATGCACACTTTTTGGTTTTTGCAAATGGAAACCAGTTGCTTGGTTGCTTGACAATAATTTTCGCATGCTTCATGTAGTGCAGAAGTGCAGAAGAAATATAACTGTATTAGTAGTGTGTAAGTTGAACTTTAAAATTTCTTCTCACTTTGGTTATAACTGTATTAAACTGCGTAAAGAGCAGAAGATAAAAGCATACTTATTCATAAACTAAAAATACATTAGTCAGAAATATCTAAAATTTCCGATAAATTTCCCACACACTTATTTTGTTTTTTGTAATTAGATAATTAGAAAGATAGAAGTATGAACAAAATGCAACTTCCATTCTTATATAGATCAAAATTACCTGAAGAAAAGACTTCCGAATCTCACCAGGCACAACCCATACTTCATCTAGAGCAAGCTGTTGATACATCCTAGGCTGATGCTCTTGTTGCGCAGACGACGACCACATCCGATGATAATCTGGCAACGAAATGAACCCACATACTTGAATTGCAAATAAATAACCCTCAGTCAGTGCTTTATGCAAATTTCTCAATGCAAATTATATTGACACTGAAAGAGTAATATTGTGCAAACAATCGAATTTCATATTGCTAAATAAAAAATAGTCCAGTTAATGATAATAGTCTGTTTGTTCTGGTGAGTTATGACTGCAAATTCAGATTTTGCTTAACTTTTGCCCTTTTGAATAACTGAAGATCATGATCTAGAAGCATTTGCATCGTTGTTAACCTAAAAACTTTTAAAACTAACCGAAGTTCGAGTATGGCATATTAGGTAAGTAATTTTTGATTGTAATCTTTCCCACTGTTTAATTTACATTCATAACTTTGAATTCAGTCAAATTATAGTAATGCATCACGTTTCCATCTTCAAAGCATTATCATAGTTTTCATAAAATATTTTCTTGCTGAAATTATGCCGTCGGAAATAACCAGCTTTTATATTAAAGTTGAGCAAGTTTTTTATTTAACAAAAGTCAACTAATATTTTGCAAGATTTAGTGAACAGATTAATTGAATATTAAATTTTAACTGTTTGTATTTTGCAAATATTTTAAAAGCTTTTGTTAATGCGACTGTATTTTTAATTTTTGAAAAAATGAAAACGAAAATATATTTTGAATGTTTTCTAAAATAGTATGAAAAAATGCATTAATGCTTTAAGTGGGAGTTTTTTACCAGTTTGAGTTAAATATATAAAAGCTTGGGATATTTTTGAAAAATTTGAAAGCAAAAAGTGAAAAAAGTAAAAATAAAATTGAAAAATTAGTCAAGGACCAACCATATTTGTGCTTCATCAAACAAATTGAAAAACCAAGCCAATTAAGGTTACTTTAATCGTTCTTACTTTTCATATTTTCAACCCTTACCACTATCAAGTCACTTTTGCGGAAATTTTCACCTATTTAGAACCCTTTTATTATTTGAATATTTTTTGCTTTTTAAATTCTCCAAACTAATTTGGAAAATTTCTCAGTTAGGCATTAAATTTTTGATTTCGTTTTCATTGCTCATTTCAACTACTTTCACAACTTATTTATTTAGACAAATTTTTATTTGGTTGAAAAAAAGAATTCAAATATATATTTCAAACATTCTACCACTCTGAAGTTACTCTTTGACCCTAAAAGTAGTCAATTTAAATGATTAAGCTTTGAATAATATAATCGCTTATGACCTTATTATGAATCAATTGTAGGATAAAATATTAATTTACTGCTAATTTGCTTGAGAAATTGGTAAAGCTTTACGTGAATGTTTCATTCTGATAATACTTTTTCTTTTTACATTATCTTAATATATTTTAATCTCAAAATAGAATAGATTTTTGTTTATCAATACTTCCAGAGATATGTTTGCATCTGTTGCTTGTCTACAGTACCACTCTCGATTATTACTAACCATGCTTACCGTGACGTTTCTGAGCTTGAATGTTGCTGCTGAACTGATGGTCATTGGAAAAACTGGAAAACACGATCTTGATACAACTAGATCATCTTTTGATCCGTTTTTTAAAAAACGATTAACTTTTTCTGATCTCATGAAGTTGGTTTTGAGGTGAATACTTATTTATTACTTTGTGAAAATCTGCAAGCAAAAAGGAAAAAAGTAAATGTAAAGTTGAAAAATATCACTTTTATATTAGGAAATGAAGAAAGCAGCAAAGTTTCAACAATAATTCTGCAAGTTTTCTGTAATAATATTTCTAGCGAACCTTCTCACTAACAGATTTAATTTTACGTTAATTCCAATATATGCAAATAATAAGTGAAAAAAATTTAATACATTGATAATTAGCAACGTTGCATTTTATTCACTTCTACAAATTTTTCAAAATATCTATTAGAAGTGGTTAGCAAAATATTAAGGAATCATATTACTGCAATTTGACGTCTTATTAATATCTGAACAATATTTATGTAATACATGAGTAGTGATAATTTTTAACATGAATAGAAAGTACTAAAGTGAATAACTTGTAATAAAAGTGGATTAACTGGAAAATTATATTTCAGCAAGCCAAGCTTCCAAGTTTACCCTCCGTTTACAAACTTAGACCGGTCTACACGAACTATTCGAGGCACAAATGTGGGGCAACGCTCGCTAGGAGATGCAATGGCTTCTGATTTCCACAACTGCTTTCTTTCGCCTGTTCAATGCATGCTTCCTATCAATAACATGTTTTAGAATAAAATAAAACATCTGTTATAGCTAGGCAAAAATGTCATTTACTTAACACTATACTTTAGAGCAAAGAATTGCATGCTATTGATATGTCATCGTATTTCATATAACATTATATTTAAATTCCTTTTAAGGTATGCAACATTTGAAAATTTGTCAACAAACTAATTTAATTTTGAGTGACAAATTTCGAACAAGACTAAGTGTAATTTAATAGTATCAATCACTTTCAAATGCATGAAAGTGATATAAACATAGGAAAAAAAATTAAGTATAAATTAAGTATATTAAATAAGTGTATAGAGTTTCTGAGTTTGCATACCAACTCCGTGTTTTTCTATAATAGCATCACGTTTTCAAGAAATTTTGACTTGCAACAACTTTGCACAAAAACAAGCTTAAAAACATTACTAAATATTATTCTAGTGTTTATTTTACCAAAAGTATAGTCAATAAATATTATATTGAATTTATGAAGGAAATAAAAAATAAAACAAGTCATTAGAATTCTTGATCTATATAACAGTTTAAACAGTCAAAGTTAAACAAAGATTAATAATAGTTGGAGCAAATAGTAGTGACCATGTAAAATATAATTTAATCCTATCCATTTCAATCCAGCCAAAAAGTTGAGCATGTTCAGCATTAAACGGAACAATTATTTGGGAATAAGCGTAATTAATGAACGTAACAAACACATTTATTTCTAAATTGTCAATATTCATTTTTTTACGCTCAGAATCACTTAAAATTATGAATGCAAGTTGAAGTTTGTTTTATAAGGTTTTACAACAAACATAATAATGGCAAGAAACACAAATATGCACAGTTTGCTCACGTGCGCGTAAATTGGTAATTCCTTGACTTATTAATGAGTTGGATTGCTAAATTACGCAAAGAAAATTAGATAATTTCAATAACGGTATAAAGCATTTTTGAAATGGCATCTGCTTGAAAATTATTCATAAATCTTAATCACCATCAGACTACAAAGACAAAATGCACAATTTTTCATTCCTATACAAGATATCCATTTATTCATTCATCTTATCATTGTTAACAGCAAAAAAATTGTAATTCTGATTACGAATTAAATATAATTAATCACGAATCAATGAATGTGAACAATGATTATAACTGATAGCTACGAAATTTTGATTTTTTTAGTGGTGTGTGCTTTTGTTTGTCACAATTACATTTCAAATTGACATGTCTTTCCTGTCAGAAATAATATTCCCCTCTGATTCCACTGCTGTTGTCGAAGACCCTTTCGTTCCTGACGAACCTGCCGTTGACTGCGAAGTTTGCGTGGTGACGCCTCCTGAACTATGCTCAGCGTTTTCCATTGCTTGCAATTCTTTCTGCATTTTCATCGCATAGTCGAACATGTTTGCATAATGCTGAAAACAATATTTTATTACTGACTTGTAAGGTGACACTCAATTACTTCAAAAATACATGATGAGAAGCTGACGAGATAGATAGCTTTTAATGGAAATTTAAAATCAAACCGAATCTCGCATAGCGTTGAATGCAGCATTTTCCTGCTCAGAACGTGTGTTCGTCATTTCTTCACTTTCCTTGAATTTCACTATTGTGGGTGCTGGTACTGGTGCTGGTGCTGGTGTTGGTGGTTCTGGCTGACATTTGGAATATACTTATCACATTTTCATTCAAGAAAGCTAGTTGCAAAGTTTTGAAAAGCAAATCTTTCTTCATAGCTTTGATTTTTTGATTGGTTTCTTATCACATTAAAATGAATTAGTAATTCCTGAAATGTCATTCTTAATCTTCTCTTGTTTTAATAATACAAATAATATGCATGAAAAAAAGTAGAATATTCTCCAAAAAATACACAAAACAAATGGCCCATGGTTCTCGCACGTGGTTGATACGTTTGTAACACATTTGATTCGTCAAAAAATGCTTTTCGAGCTCTAAAATTCTTTTTTTTCCAACAGATGTTTACAGAAATGATACTTGTTAATATTATAAAAGAGATATATTATTTTCTCATCTTTTTATTATTAAAGCAACAAGAGAAAATATTAGAATGAAACGCATCTAAAATTAAAGGAATTCTGCAATAAAATTATCATCAGAGAGCAACTGATAAATTGATAATAATAGTAAATTACTAATTGTTGTTCTGGAATAATTAAAGAGAGTATAATCAGTTATGCAAAATTGTGCCTTATTAATATGAAATAAAATCTTAAATAATATCGAAAAAATTAATTCATATTGAAGGACAGTAGCACATAGACCTTGTCAAAGCATTAGAATGTATGCTCATCCAAACATGTCCAAAGAATGCAAGGAAAACAGTGAACAAAGCAGCCAATGCTGATGTACTCTTTCCACATGCATACATAAATTGGCATAACTGACAAAACAACCCCATTGTCACCAGCACCAATAAACTTACTAGCAACCGTAACCTAAATTGTGATGTCATTCAAGTCTCCTTTTCTAGCTTTCACAAATATGCTCAGTAAATACCATCATTTTTCAAGTAATTTATCTCGATTCATATTTGTGACTTTCCTCAACTTATTGCTCAATGCTTTTTCAGATCAAAAATTACGAAAGTAATTCCCGAATATACTCTGCAACCTTACTGAAACTTTACTAAAGAATATTTAATCTTCTATGGCAAAATGCATCTGACAACAAATCCCAACAACTACACTTTCTGAATATACTACAATGATAATACGCTTTACCTAATAGTCGCTGCACACTTCTGACTGTGGTCAAAATTATTACTTCTATTGGAAGAATGTAACTGTGAAGCAACCGCACGCTTCACCATCTTCCGTTATCAAGTCCTGTTCAACCAATCTACTTTTGCCAATATCTTTTATTATTTTAAAGCAACCGCTCCTCAACACAACACTGATGATAACAACATTCGTTTTTTACAAGGCACTCTATTTCAAGCAAAGAGATATGCGAAAGTATTCACATTTATAGAAAGAGAAGAAAAAGGAAGGAGAGCTCAACTAATACACTCAATGTCACTAACAATATAAGATAAGAAATAATTCCAAATTCTTATTTCTGAGAATCAAACATTTCTTCATATGAAGCTTTTTAGATCAGAAAATAGTGAACAAAAAATGCGTGACGACATTTACTGATTTCTTTCATAGGATTAATAGTTTTCACCGTCCTAAAACCGATATTTTATCGTGTTTAAATGAAGCATCTCAGCACTGTTCTCTTATCTTTTCAAAATAATCTTCCATCATTACTTTTTTAACAGGACAGCTAATCAGTAATGGATTCTTATGTTAGAAATTTCGGATAGTTATTCTATACAATAATGGAAAGAAAACTGATCAAAATTTTCAATAAAAAATTTTTTTTTCTAATAATCCAAAAAGCCTGCCAAAGACTGCTGTATGGTGAGTGTAAATGCATCACAATGTTCTGCCTTTTTCGCATCCTAAAATGGCATAAACCTAAATTTTTTTTATTAGAGTTTACATTTACATGCTACATAAAATAATATTGATATATGTGATCATTGTTTGACAAAAATAGTGTCATCT